GAGGAGGAGGAGGAAGAAGAAGAAGGCAAGGACGAAGTTGGTAAGAATCGCAAAGGAGCGCGGCGACGAGGGGAGAGGGTGAGAGTGTTTACTGGCGGTAAAGGACCGCGTCGCCGCTATGTGGATGACTTGTCCTCCTCGCGAAAAGCCGACGAGATTATGCCGCCATCTTGGATGTTGGTAAATATCCCGTGCCGAAAGAGAGCCTTTCGTAGCGCCTCTAGTCGAGCGAGAAGATCCGACACTGGGCGGAGAAGTAAGTCGCTGCTACTACTAGCCGATCCTCGTGACCGACGATGGTGTTGGTTGGGTGACGGTGGTGGTAGTAACAGCGACGTTGGGGGTGGCGATGATAGAGTCGCGAGGATAAAGAAGGCGCTGCGCAAGAAAGTCGAAAGCGTCGCAGGAGCGGAACGGGGGAGGGGAGGGTGGGAGGAGTGGAGCGCGAAAAGGTAAAGAAGTGCGAAGAGGTCTTGGCGGCACAAGGCGAATATCCCCCGCTACAAAGAATACTGTCGGCTTTGCACCTTTTTCAAGACGTCGTTTTCCCGCTTCGTCGGAAATCTCATACCCCCCTCCTCTGCTCGAGAGTCCCGTTTCATCCTTCTCCTCCCCGTCGCCTGCCGCGTCTGCCACTTCCGCCGCCTGTGCCGAGATGTCCTCCGCCGACCCTCCTCGCCCCTCTCACTTGCATGAAGGCTATTTACCTATGCGGTTCGGAGACGATAAACTGGAGCTCCGCCTTGTCGCAATTGAATTCTTATACGTGACGTATCATGAATTTCATATTTAAAGGAACGTTAGCCGTCGAACGAAACGATCAGATAAATCGATTATATCGATTGTCCGTTTAAAAGAATACGCTAAACGTGAAAAAAAAAAAAAAAATGTGAAAAGAACGATTGTTGAAAAATTGGAAGTTATTCTGCGGACACCATTTTAAAACAAATTATTAAAATCAAATAAATTTAGATCGTATTATCAACGATAGTGGACATTTCGGGGCGGTTAAATTGCGTGGGTTCACCCTGTGTATTGTCTCATTTGATTTCGCGCAGATTGAAGAAAGACACGGAGGGGGGTCTCCGCAGGGGCCCTCCACGGCGGCCCGATTGCGGTGAAGCCGCGCAGCCGAATCTGAAATTCAATTCAATGCAAATTTGCCGGCGGGGAACACACTTATGGCTAACCGGCGAACGAGATCGATGATTCGCTTAGTTGCTTAGGACGCGGTAAACACTCGCCGCTTTTACTCGAGACTTATGAAATATTGATGGACACACGTTGGCGCGGCCGACGCTAACGATGTCGTCGTTGAGTGGAAAATACTTGATAGATGAATTATCGGTAATCGCTCTTTTACGGGAATACTTTATTACCGCAACTAGCAGTAAAGAGGTCACATTACATTTAAGGAATATTACAACGTTATAATGTATAAAGATAAGAAAAATATGTAGCAATGTTGGCTTACACCAAATCTAAATTTTTAGTGTAATTTTTCGTGTAACAATTTTATTTATATAATTGTATATTGTTATACAAAACGTAATAGTTATATGTGAAATTTCGTATCTCTTTTCTATTTTATGTGATGTCTCTGTATTGTCTCTCCTTTTCTTTTATTTTTTTTTTCAATCTTTACTCCTACAATTAGATTAAATCAACTTAATAATTATTTATTATAATCATATTTACTATAATCATATTTTTCCTACTTTGATAATAATGAAAATACTGAAATTTACGCGATGTTGTGCACTATCGGTACGCTTAAGAGAATAAAAAAAAATCTAAGAAAATAAAACGCCAACGCTTATCGTAAAAATGTACGTGAACTTGCGCGCACTCGAGCAAAAAGGGAGAACGTTTCTTTTCTCTGTTTCTCTTTTGAACTCGCAGAGCGTAGAAAACATGACGGGCCAACGATCCCAATTACAAACATTTCTCGTGGCTTTTCAGAGTTGCATTTGGCCGAAAAGGGCGCGCCGCCGTCGCTGCTGCTCGGTGCATTTTATTCCCGTTCCCGTCTCCGTTTGCCCGAAAGTACTTTTCGTTTTCGAGTGCGTATAAGCACATGCGGGTTGATTTTCTCTTCTTTATCCTCCGTCCTCTTCTACAGCTTTCCGCTCCCTCGTGCGTCACCTTCTACGCAAAGACATAGTAGTCTGAGACCATCTACGCTAGACGATAAAACTTACTTTAATTTTCCTGAATGTTGAACAAAAATACTTGAACGATATTTTATGTTGAATTTAAGTAGACTCTACATGTAGCTGTATATATTTTCCTACGTTTTACAGCACAATTCGTTATACATTTATGAAATTATATATATATATATATATTTAATTATATTAATAGAGAAAATTATCGATTAATTAATAAAGAATTAAATGTAGCATTAAAAATTTAAAATATCTTTCATAAAATCTGATTAATTTTTTTTTTTTTTCTATCCAACGTTTATTCTTAAAAAGTGTGCTTTAGATGTGTATAACGTGGTGATTCTTTTTTTTTTTTGTGACTTTATAGAGAGTTCTAAAAAAATTTTCGTGATCAACCCACGCAGTTTCGAAGCTCATAAAGCTTTCGAATAAAAGATAGAAAGAAGGTGGAAAGCGCGAGAAGGATGCGATAAAGTCGTGGGTGAGACAAGGGGGCGGCAGCGATGGGGCAGGGGGTGATAATTTGTTAGCATGCGCGCACCCCCAAATGCGCGAAATCCCGTCGAAGTACGGCTCGTGCGGCGCATTGTTTCCTTGTTTGCCAGGTGTTTCGAGCACCGCGGCCGAGTGGAGGCCGCGCCATTGTTGCCAGAGAAGTCGTGCAGCCGCTCTCTCTTGACAAAGCCGGCGATCCTAATGCTCTTTTATTGTGCATTGTGCGCTGCCGAAATCAAGAAACGGGGTGGCGTTACATACGCGAGACCGAGGGATGTGCAGTTTCGATTGTACGGCTTATGTATGTTGATGACGATGATGACGCCACCCCCCGCCGAATTCGGCGCCTATTTGTCATTTTGCTTTTTTTTTTTTTCAAACGCGAAGAAGAACTTTGCTGAAAGATCTTGTAAGAATGCGTAGACTAGGAAATGACGAGATATGGCAACCATAAGGGCGAAATTGTCGTAATTTGTATTTTTATATTTTTATTAACTGAAGGGTCGAAAGTGGTAAGTCAGTGATGATGACAGGGTGCAAGCACTTGATAGTATGCACATGTTGTATATACATAATAAAGATCTCGAGTCGATATCTTTATATTCTGCTTTTCTAAAGATTATTTTTATTTTAATGAAATTAATTTCTTTCTTGTAAATAGTTTATATTGGATTTTAATTATTCTATAATATTTTATTTGAATTTTATAATATTTTATTAATTAATTAGTTTTTTTATATTAATTTATTTTTTACCAAAATATTGTTAAATATTTTATTTTTAACTAGGAAGTATCATTGAGAAGCATTGTTCTTGCTGAGCTTTCTTTTTTAATAGAGAAGCGGAATCATAAAATTAAAGAGAATATGATTTAATGAATTAAAATCCCAATTGTATACTTACTCTGCTTTCTCTTGTTCATCAGCGCCTGATAAAAACTAATCAAGAGAGAATTTCATAAAGTAAGCAATTTTACATGCAATAAATATTTATTTCATTTTTGCTGGCTGCATAAAAATGAAGAAAAAGAAATATGTGCTTAATATCTCTTTTGCGAAAATAATAATTATCGATCTTATCAAATGTTCTAAGAGAGTTATTTTTTAGAAATAAAATTTTTTTCTTAATAATTTTTCTTTGAAATATGAAAAGAAGATTATTGTCTCCGTTCGTTTTATAAATTTGTCTTCTAACTTGTTCTTGCAAAATTAATTTTGCAAAATAGCAAATCTTTTATTTTTAAGAAGAATTATTTAGAAGAAGGAAAAAATATTTAAGGACATAATTCTTTCCAAAGAACAATTTCTAAAAATCTTCGATCACACATAAGGTATTAAAAAGTTTTTGAAATCTTTAAATTATCATTGCTATTATAATTGATGTCATTTAGAGTGCTGAAGAAATGTGTCAATTTTTTTCTTTTATTTCATATAGTAAATTACTGATCCTTTTTTTCCATCGTCGCTCGCCACAAGTTTGCGTTGTATCCACGATTTCTTTTAAGAAATCGTTTACGTAAAAACAGCGAGATGAATTTTTATGATTATATATAATCGATCATCACTTGTATTAACAAATTCTTTTTCGGGGAAGGGGGATAAGGAATTGAATTGCCATTGAAGCGGTATTGTCGTTATCATTTCTGACGCATACTCGCAATACAGTGTCGAGTAATTCATTAAACGAGTGATAAATAATTTACTACTATTATTACATAAGTACATACAGTGTGTAAAATGTCGGCGCGATCGCTGTACGGTGGTTAGCGTAGAAATGCTCATCAAATGCGTAAATCATTGCGAGTTGATTAGCGGAGAATTGCGGTAAATCTTGACAAACAGTGTGTCTTACATATAAGATTGAGTTAGATTGAAAAAACATAGCGACGCACATTATTCGTAGCATAAAGAAAAGAACTCTTGCTTTTACATGTCATTTTGTTTTCATGAAAACAAATTCTTGTTATCGAAAGCACTGCACACAATGCGAATTTAAGCTATAGAGAATAATCTTTCGTATGAAAATGAGACAGAGATTGCAAAATACCAAGTGCTGAATGATATTGTCTGGAATTTCCAAGTCACTTCCCTCGTGGGGGGATATATTCATTGGAAGTTTATTAATTATCAATGAGACTCTCAGTATTACATTATTCTCTTAATCTTATATTTATCTTTTACGTACAATGAAATGATTTATAAAGTCGAGAAATTAGAGGATAAAAGATAATCCAGTTTATATTTTGCAAAGTATCGTTTCTTTCCATAATCCGACTTTAGACACATCGAGTGATATCCGATCGTTTCATATCCAAGTCTGTACGACAGAACGCTAAAGGTACGATGAACATAAGGTAATAATCTCATCTGTGTAAACATAATTCGGCCCACCCTTCGTATATCTCACGCATGTGAGCAATTTATCAGCAGCGTAACCGAACGGCGAATCGGAAGGGAGTTCGCAGGAGGATCGTCGTTGTATCGACGATATATGAAATGTCTAATGCAAAGTAATTGATTCGTGCTAGTTAAAAATGTATAAAAATCATGTTTTGATTAATTCCCAAAACACGCGCTATCGGTTTGTCCTCTCACGAAGCTCCCAAACGCAACGGTTACGCACACATAGCATCGTTTCTTTAAAGCAAATAGAGCTAAACTGCACATTCACAAACTGCTGCAACAAAAAACAGCGATTAAATAAATACATAAATTATGGATATACAAATAAATACGTAACATGATATTTAACAATTATGCAATTACGCAGTACACAAATATATTAAATTATTCTGATCTTTCTTTCTCGCTTCCTCTCTTCCCCCCCTCCCCCTCTCTCTCTCTCTCTCTCTCTCTACTCTCTAAGAGAAGAGACATATTGATTCTAATACATCAATAATATTATATACAGATTATTAGAATAGTGACTAGTTTCTTTATGGAATTGCTGTGTTTCGAAATTTATCAGAACTTTTGAACAAAAACTTGAAGATAATCGATTTTTCGCAAATATCGCATTTCGGCCTTTTCTTCAGGAAAACGAATTTGTTTCCATCGAGAAGTGCAGGCATATGTGTTTCGAATTAATCTAATAACAATCTAATAGTAAGATAAAATACAAGAAAATTTTATAATCGTGTACCGGACTCTCTGAGACGTATAAGAGCAGATTTTTAAAAGAATTTCGTGAAATAAGAGAAGCGCGAAAAACTCGCCGTTGACAACAATTCCTTCGGATATGTTCGAGCCGCATTCCAAAACTCTTCTCTTAATTTCGCTACGTTAAAATTTGCTATAGCCGAGTTCCGACTAGAGGAGAACCAAGTATCGTAGCGTAGATTCCACCGTTTCTCACGATCCGCCGACGTTTTCCGAGTGTGCAATGAAAACCATCTCTTTGTTCTCCTACTCGTTCTCTCCTTCTCCCTCTAATTTATCCAAGTTCCAATTGTCTAGTCCACATCAGTGTCACCGAATTCAATGCGGGGTTTTAGCGAGCGACTCTTACTGTCGTCGTGCGCTCGACAGATCAGTTGAAGAAATCGTCTCCGTCGAACGGATCGTTCTCTCTCGCGAAGATATTCACCGACTCCGACTTTCTGATATATTGATCGCCCCTGGCCTTATTATTATTATTGTTATTTCCCGGCCCGTATTTTCCTTGCCTGGAGTTCTTCAGAGGTAACGTAGTGGCACGGTGGTCCGGCACATTGTCGTCTAGCTCGGACTTGAAGACGAAGGCGTCGTCGTCGAATCTTAGGTCGCCGTTGAAGAAGGAGTCGCGGCCACTGTCCTCCGAGACGAAGCCGTCAATGGGCTGCTGTGGGTCCTTGGTGTCGCACGGCAACTCCTCCGGTGTGGCTTTGAGTTCGGATGACAACCTCTGTCGATCAGACGCGTCGCTGGACGCGCTCGCTGTGGGCGTGAGATCGTCCTCAAAGTAGCTCGATCGTTTGCTGTACTCCCGCACGGGGATATCCCGCCTGGGATCCTTGAGGCTCCTGACGCCGGATGAGGGACTCGCGGGCGGCAATTCTCGTTTCTGATCAGCCGTGTCCAATCGTACGCGCGCGTCCATCGGCGCCAGCGGCTCCGCCGCTCCGCTCGAACCGACGCCGGGTGTCTCCATGTGCTCGATGCTCTGCGCGAAGTCGTCCTCGAACGGGCTCTGGGTCTTTTGCACTTGTCGCGTCTTGTGCCTGGCTATCCGTTTGCGATGCATCGTCTCGCTCTTTGAGTCGGGACCTTCGGACCAATAGGGCCGTTCCACCCAGCTGTCGTATTCCTGATCGCTGCCCCAGTAGCTCTCGCGGCTCCTGGAACGTTGGGAGGGTCGCAAATACGGATCGGAGTCATTGTCGCTGCACTCGGATCTGGAGGCGCCGAACTTGCGCGGATCCGCGTACAACATATCGCTATTACGGCCGTCGTTCGCGCTGTTAGGTCTCTTCGGCCAGTATCTCTTCCTACCCGCCGGATTGTACCTGGGCGAGTCGTCGCCTGGACGTTCCGGGCCGTACTCCTCGTCCCAGGACGGATAATCGTGAGGTCTCTCTCGGCTATCGCGATAGTAATAGTACGCCTCTCTCATAGGATAATCGGCGTCTGGAGGTCCCCTTCTCCCCCAGAATCTGCTCTCCTCCTCCCATCGTCTTCTCTCCCATCTTTTCCTACTCCACCGGTCCTCCTCGTCGTAGCAGCTTTCCTGACTGCTGCCAAACCGATCCTCCTCATTCCATAGCATCAGCTTCCGTTTACGCTCGTCGTCGTAGTACGAATCGTGACTCCAATTGCACCGCTGCGGCGGTATCGGTGGTTTCGGCCGGCACTTCCAATGCGTTTCGTACTGATCTTCATCATCTTTGTAGGGTTGCATCTTCCGATGCGGATAGGTCCGCCGCGGACCTTCATCTTCCCACTGACTCTCTTCGTGCCAGGGTGACGGGTCGCGCGGTCGATGAACGCCGCTGCTCTTGGCCCACGGCGCGCCACGTGACTTCCTGCCCATCCGATCGCGGAAGCTGCGATCTCGCTTGTCAACATCGTCGTAAAACGACCTATCCTCGAAGCCGGGCGCGTCGATTCGCGGATGCCGAGATCCGGACCAGTATCTGCCGTCTCCTCGCACCCTGCCATTGCTCTCTTCACTCTCCTCTTCGTCTTTCCATTCGTTGTCGCTATCCCCCGAGTGTCGGTAACCGCCGCTTCCCTTGAACGGAATCTCCCTGTGGAAATCCTTGCCATCCGGTGACCACGGCGAAGTGCCACCTATCGATCGTTGTCCCTCGCACGATGATCTGTCGGACGAGCCAAAGATACCCGTGTCGAATTTCGCCCAATTGCTGTCCTCTTTGTTGTCATCTTTGTCTAACCGTGTTGTCTCTGCGAACGGGCAGAACATATCTTCGAAGCCTGAAAGCGGCTTGGTTTCCTTGGCACGATGCGTGCCGGTATTCAACATCTTGATTTCCTCAAAGATGTCCATCGCCACGGCCTTTAGATCTTCCGAATCTTTCTTAGCTGAAATATTGGGACTCGACGGTGGCGGCAGGTTGTCCGAAAACAAATTCAACAATTCCACTTCGGCCATACTCCTCGATTGTTGAATCTGTTGCTGAGGCTGTATTACCGGCGACGCCCGGGCGGAACTTATTATTTCTTCGTCATCCCTCTTGATTGGCACCGGTTCTGGTTCGCCGATTATTTCTCGTAAGGCAGCGTATCTGTCGCTCGACGTTGACGCCGAGGATTTCACCTCCGTCGAGGATCTTTCGGCCACAGATGAGCCATTCGTTTCATCGTTGAGTATATCCGAGCCGACCTTGTCAGACGAAGTGCCATTGGCGTCGCTTCCTCTCTCAGAATTTTCCGCCCTCTCTTCCGCCTCCATGATGGTTTGCGTTTTCTCATCATCCTCAACATCTATCTCTGTCTGCTGGACCGTAGACGAATCAGACGTGATATCCGCATCCGCCATCACTTCGTTCTCTTTCTCGATTTCTCTGTCTTCGATTTCTGCCGGCTTTTCCTTTTCCGCTGTCAGATTTGCAAGGGAGCTAGTCACTGTCTCGTCCATCTTCGCGAACCCTTCGTTCAACAAATTCTCATTCTTGGCCGGCAGCTTGACGGTTAGATTCACCAACGAAGCTATAGAATTCGTGATGCTATCGCTGGTCTGTATTTCAGATTGAACTTCCACTTCGTCGGAAGTTTGCTCGCTGTTGTTGAGCGACTCTTCTTTTTCAGTTGTCTCTTCGATCTTCGTCTCTTCCTTCTGCTCCATCTGCTCCATCTCCAACAATTCGCGGAAAACTGCGTATTTGTCATATGTAGACTCCTGTTTTGGTTCATAGTTAGCTTTAAAAGATTCCGAGGTTACGAAGGAAGTCGAATTTAATCCAGTCGTCGTCTCGAGCGGCTTTGACGCCAACGATGATAGCGACGACATCGTAGATTTGGGTGAAATCACCGCTTGTTCCTTCATCGTCGTTGACGTTGTCGTTATTGGCGGAACAGTAGCTTCATCCCCATCGTCGACGGTGGTTTCCTTTGTTGACAAATTCGCCAAACATTGCGTGAGCTGTGTCAAAGTCAGACTGGTCAGCTGCTGGACCGTCATGCCGAGACTGGAGGCCAACTCGTCCAGATTCGTCCATGACGACGTTAGCTGGCTGAGCGTGATATCGAGAGGCGGTTTCATTCTCTTGGAGTCTGTGGCCGGGATGGTCGTACTGCTGGTAAAGGGCACAGACGACAATGACGTCGTGGATATCATCGTATTGAAGGAATCCTCGAAGGCGGAGGCAGTGGTCGTCGTAATCATAAGATCCGACTTGCCGGATATTTGCGGAGGCGGACTGAAGTTGTCGTCGAACTGATGACTCTTGATGTCTTTCGGCGGGCTTTTATTTTTATCCTTGGCGATCTTAGTGGGCGAAGGCGAAGCCTCGCGTGGCGGAAAATCGTATTGGAAATGTCCCTCCGTGTGCGGGGGTCTAGGCGGCGGTCTCGCGCCCCCTCGGGCCCCTTGTTTCTTCGGCGGTAAAGGTGGCGGATTGATAAGAATGCTACCTGCGCCTCTGGGTGGTGGTTCTGGGACCAGGTCTAGTTCCGCACTCGAGCTGGATAGACGCGAGTTGGCATCCGACGAGCAAGAACGCAACGGCGATGCCGGCGACTCGCTCGTCACTGAGAAATCTACCGGGAAAGGCTTGTTCGATTCCACGGGTTGTGTCTTGCCGCCTGGCAAATCGATGTCGAAGTCCCTTTTTCGTACTGACTGAAGATACTTTTTCGGACTCGGTAACTTCACCAATCCCTGCGTCGACTCCGTCGAGTCTCTATCCATGCTGCGAAGAATCGAGCTCCCCCCCGAAGCGATCGTAGACGTATTCGTTCCTTTGGGCAACGTCGTCTCCTCCGGTGGCAACGACACCGATAGAGGCTGATGATGTATCGCCCGAGAGGCCGTCTCTTTCTTCGGTGGCGAATCAATTTTTTGCAGAGAGGATTGACTCGCCTCGTTCTCGTCGAATCGATCAAAATTGGCAAAGTTGCTATCCTCGCTGTCCTTCGACGATTGATCGGTCTTTGTCGACTCTATGCAATCTGTACTGGTCGTGATATTGAAATTCGTCGGAAAGCTGTCGGTGGAACTAGTAGACACCAGATCCTTGAGGACCTTTTTCGGTGGATTTTTCAGGTGCTGGAAAAAGTCCTTCTTGTCTACGTAAGGCTTGATCAGACCGGTCCCCAACGGATCCAATTCCGTGAACACGTCGATCTGCGGGCTTTTCGTCTGAGTATTGCGTGGTGTGGTCTCCACCGAGCTCTGTAACAGGAACGATCGCGTATAAAATTTTACAAACGCAATTTAGTACAAAAAAAAAAAAAAAAAAAAAATGAAAAAGAGAAAAATGTGTATATCGACACTCACGTTCTCCTCCTCGTCCTTCTTCGTTGTCGAATTTTTACTCAGATTCGTTATCTCGTTGTCGTTGAAGAGATTTTCGGTCTCCTTGTCGAACCAGTGAATCGTATTCTGCGGTGGTGGTGTTTTACTAACTAACGTCGTCGCCGGACTGGAAGTGGTCGATGCGGGTGGTACCGGTACAGTGTGTTGTCGTTCCAAATGGCCTCTCTTTGTCGAGGAGGGAGGCGGTGGCAAAATTGGACGAACTGTATCCTGAAGCTGCAACAGGTACAGGAAAATATGGTTATCACATCCTTGTCGAACGCGCAATAACGCCAACAAATGTGATCTCTTCGCTAAATGAATTCATGATTGCAATGATTATATATCTGCAATTCGTTCGTGACATTATTAAAGACAGAAAAGATATTCGCGAACTCGCAATACCAATCGTACCTTCATGTTTGCGAAAGAATCACCGAACGGATCGGTCTCGAATAGATCGTCGGTAGACGGTACGGGATTTTCCGGCGTAATTTTGTCCATCTGGTGAATGCCCTGCTGTAGTGAGTTCAGTTCGAATTGCAGATCTAACAGATCCGCGATCACGCCGCTCTGTGATTCGTTCTTGCGATCGGCGGTCTTGTCGACTTCGCAGTTAGTCGTGCGAATTCGATGAAACGATGACTCGGTGCCCGCTGCGCCCTGCGACATATTATCGTAACGCGTCTGATAGTTACGTTTTACTGTTATCAAACATTATCTTTCTTAGGACCGATATTGCAACCGATAATAATTATTAACTTGTACCGTAATTTAATTGATCCTCCATCTCTAGGTAACGTTGATTGCAATATAAGCAGCGAACAAGTCATATCAGCCATCGTGATTAAATCGTAATTTTTGCTTAGATTTTTTTGATCTTATTTAAGGAAAAGAGATGAAGAATTAATTAAACGTCATTTAACTTTCGTTAATATTTAAATAAACGAGTTGAGTAAATGAGAATGGGTAATGATACTATTATCTAATATGAGAAAAATAAAGAAGCTGTTAAAGTACGAATAAAGAGACTTGTCTGCGAGAACAATTTAATTGACATATCTTGCGGCAATTATTTTGAGAAACTGGAACTCACCTTAGTGTCAGGCGTCGACTCAACGAAAATACCGCCGGTGTGGAATTTAATCGCGTTAATGGCATTCTGCTCTATGTGCTGTTTCGCCAGCTCGATCTCCTTCTTCTTCAGCTCGAACACCACTTGAAATAAGTCCCGCATCGCTATCACCACCTGTTAAACAAAATGTTCTCTTTTGCCACTTTGCGCGATATGCCAAACTTGTTGCGGACGCAAACTCGTTTACACTTTGCATATTCAAATTCAAACGTCAATTCAAACGTCATTCAAAAAAATTCTTTGAGACTATTTCTTGATTTAATTTTTAGAAAAATCAAACTTTTTAGAAGACCTGATTTCAATCAATTTACTCTTGAATTCACTCATTCATTCTAATGTTTTTTCTTCTCTGTATAAAATCTTTAGACATATACTCGGTGCATTACAAGAAACAGAAAAGGGTATTTCCTCCTCTATTTTAATTCGAGATCAATTTAAAGCGTCTAGTATTCCGACAGATCTGGATTAATTTCCTCTTCTTTGGGAATGAAAAATATCGAGGAAACAGGGAATACTACCCACGCCCGTTGACCGTAATTTCCGAAACCCTTCTTCGATCGTTCATTCTATTCTCACCTCCTCCTCCCCTCTCTTTCCCCTGCCATCAGCGCGACAACCCTCTGTTTGCCGCGATTCCACGCTTAAACGGTTAAAACCTCCAGCGGCGTGTCAAACACGACCGCCACCGTATATACGGGCGAGAATTATACGGAGCCGTTTATACGGAGGCGAGTGCAGAAATTAAACTTGGAAATTGAATGAAGGCGTAAGGTTGTTGAATTAATTTGCCACCTGTCGCGCGAGCTTCCCGGGCTGATTTCATTTTCACGGCGATGATCGTCGTCGCGATTGAATTGCGCGAGTTGAAGACCCGGCAATTGTATCTGCGCGCGATCGAGAGCGAAAGTCTACGTGGCAGAGTTAAACATATTCCTCGATTTAACGCGGCCGATTAGCCGTCATGAACTTCTGTTCCGCCGCATTATGTCTAATATTCATCTCGTGGAAAGTTACTCGCGGTATAATGTATCGCGCCGAGCGAAACTGTTGCAGGGCATACATATTTTATTCAAGACGAGTGAGAAGTAAGTTTGCTTGCAGCTTAAGCGGATAAATTAAAAAAAGTATCTGTGCGCTCTCTTCTAACAAATCACATTAAAAAGATTTTAGTCGTGATGATGGTTAATGCAAGTGGTATTAAAATATTGTACAGTTTTTGTCGCGCATCTATTTACTTGTCGAAATTGAATTTTTTTATTTTATATATTTTTATATATCTTTCTATTTTATATATAAAATAACAAGATTCAATTTTGACAAATAAATAGGATAAGCGATAAAATTGTATAA